ACAGCTGCGACCTGCCACGCCAGTCCCATGCCGATTGCCTCACATTGCGCTTCGGGCAGATAGATGCAGTACTCGTCTGCAATCTCTCTGCAACGCCTCCGTGCCCACTCGCTTCGTACGCTGATCCAGTGCGACCCATTGATGCTGCCGCCACCGGCTCTGGTCGGAAGATATACAATCAGAGTTGCTCATGTCGTGTGCTGCGAATTTCCGGCGTCCACAAAAAACGGAGATTAAGCTGCTGGAATCTAGGTGGAACCGGGGCAGAGGCTCTGTTCGGTGATTAGACACGCCGGGCAGGGTAACCTCGGCAAAATCGAGCGAGCTTCCTGGCCGTAGCTGGCGCAGAAGTGTCATATCCACCATTCCTTTGTCGCGCAACAGAACCAGCTTTCCGCATGGAATCAGGCCCTTCCTTTCTCTGCCTTGTCTATGGCGGAACATTTGCGGAACATTTGCGGAACGTTCGATAGCGTGTGCAAGTCGTTCTGCCATGTTGTGCAGTCCTCTTCGAGTGCTGCGACTTCCAGTTCACTATGCTCCGTCCCACATGACTAGGATATTTGCGCACAGTCCATTGCCGCGTATGAAACGAAGTTGCTCACGGACCTTCCGGGAACTCGCGGAACTTAGGTCGCACCGCAAGGAGCCCCATGAAACGAAGGTGATTAGATGCGAGTGCCACAGGGGAGACTGGATCAACCATGTGCGGAGGCGCAAGGGGAAGATTGCGACTCAGGCTTCTTTACCTTTCAATAGCGAAGCAGTGGTCGGCCGCGGGAAAAAGAAAGGGGAAGAAAGAAGGACCCGGAACGGGAGAGGGAGTAGGCCGTGTCCTGTCCTAATGGACGAATCAAGACGTCGCTAAGCCAAGGCCAGTAGAAGCTAACAGCGCGCACAGTTCCTTGGTGCTAAGTGAAGCAAGCCGTTTCATGACCGGTCAACTACTTGCAATCCGATCGAGGGTACTCTGGCTTCCCAGCGAATGTGTGCAGCCTCGTCGGTAGTATTTGCAAGATGCGAGGTGCTGCAGCGCACCATGCTATCTCTCCTCCGTTTCTGTCTCTGTTGACGTAGTTGCCTCCTGCGAGGAGGATAGCCGGAAATTTAGACAGACATTAATGCCGCCTGCGCGATCGCGACGCAGACGCGATATCAACTTACCAGCCAGACATCATTACACAGATCTATGCGATAGTGCCTCTAGAGCACTACACCAAAGAACTGTCGCAACAACAGCCATTGGGTGCGGCTCTACAACATCGTTTCTGTGGTTAGTGGCGGTAGTGGCGGTAGTGGTGGTGGTGGTGGTGGTGGTAGCGAGGCGAACGAGGGCGTATCACTGTCCAGGGCGCATTGGCGTCCGGCACGGTACGTAGTCCTTGACTTGGCGCTTCAACTTCATGCGAGTAGGTTTCGTGCTTGCGTTAGCCTATCAAAGCTAATTGCTAGCAACTTTTTCAGCGAGCTTTTGTTGTGCGAGTTTAATTTTTAGAGTTCAATTGTCGTATCCCTTCAAGGGCTTCCTTTGCAGACTTCGGGGCGTTAGACTGTGGAGGTGCAAAGTTGGGACGGGATTGTAGCGGAATGCGTATCGAGCACGCAGACATGGTACCCGAACTTCCTCAGATTTCGCGGTAGTGACTACCCTTGCAAACACAGGCTGGCGGTGGAAGGGGGCAGCGCCATTACATGGTGCTTGCGTGCTTATCCAAGATTAGAATGTGCGATGATAATAGAGCGTCGTCACGTTGCTAATGCTAACTCCTCTAACGCGTTGTTGTAAATCTCACCCAGGTCGTGGAGTCGGTTCCGACATACCTGACAGGTTATTGTAAAAATTGGTAGGGTGTGCCCGTCTTGGTCCCTGCATGAGGTCTCGCCTCTTACACACTAGCTAAACCAAGCAACGTTAGCGATTCGGAGGGCTACAATGACCTAGGGCTAATGGTTTTGTCGATTTTGGTAACTTTGATCATGGTAATGGTAGACTCGCAACCGGCACGAGCCCACGCTAGACCCCGCGTCCAGCCATCGGGTATCGAACGCGTTATTCTCCTCTATTATACCAGTGGATATATAGGGAAGCTCTCTCTGCTTCATGTGGATGCTTTTTTCTATCCGCTTCCTTCAGCATGAGCCTTTGCGATATTGTGCTCTCTGCATAAAGCCCCACACAGCAGAACCACCTTGAGATGCGATCACGACTCGGATGGTAGGTGGAGCAGTTCTCGCATACTGCCGTCTGCTGACTTTTCCTGCAGCCTCACCTGCCGCCAGAGGAAGCTGAAATGTGATGAGAGGAAACCCGTGTGCAGAAGGTGCATCAAAGCTTCCAGAGAATGCATTCCGAGCCCAGGCATCGTGTTCCGCCACCAACACAATGCCTCTATGAATGGAAAATGTACGGGAGCCAAAGATTCCCTGAAATGCTTCTACGCATACAAGAACACCTTCACCGGGGATGCAATATGGATGAATATCCCTAGGCAAAGTAACCATCATGTTTTGGAGCGCTATGTAGCTCATCTAATGCGGTCTCAGTTGCCTTCATCAATACGACCAATCCATATCTTGACTCTGGTATACTCGACTTAGACACTATGTTGGCAACTTCGATGGAATCGCCAAAGCCATTCGAGCCCCACTCTCTAGCTTCATGGCGCACACAAGGCAATCTTCATCGAGTTGACAATGCACTATCGAGCTTAGGATCCGAATTAGCCCCAACCAGCATTTCTCGCTGTTTTACGCCGGATCTTGAAGCCCTATCACCACAGACACGTTCACCTCCAGTTTCGGCTATAGAAAGACCTATCTCTCCGCCTACGTCGCTATCCGATCCACACACAAGTTTGGTAACGATTCTTACTACCTCTTCAGCCATGCCACCTGCAAATTCCTCTTTTAGTTTGCCGTTCGACTCGACCGGTCACATGCCTCGACCGGCTTCGACATCAAGATTGCGGGGGTGGCCGCCTTGTTCCAATGCAAGTATATCCACTCAAGACGAGCATGAGATCCTCTTCCTTTTACAGTGGTTCTCAGAAGGTCCTGGATACTGGATGGACCTGTTTGATCTCGGCAATCACTTCGCATCTCATGTTCCCGTACAGGCGCGTGAGAACCCACTACTCAGGTACGCAGCTGCTGCATGTGCTGCGAAGGCTTTCGCACGCATCCAGGAACGTAAGCTTGCCATGGGAGGTAGTTTGACACACCAAGCTGGGATGAAGCAGTATCCTGACGCACCATCAGTCGACTGGAAGCACAAAACAGCATTCTACTACGACACCACCGTATCAATGCTGTTGCACGCTCTCAATGGGGAGATCGCCTCCTCTTCCAATGAATCAATGTGTGAACTCAGACAGCGCAATAGCGATCCAGCCTGCGCCTACAACGTATCAGCGCCCAAGCGACGACGGACTTCACACAACACCTCCTTCGTGTCTAGCACTGAAGAACTTCTGGCAGTCATAGCCATTCTTTGTTTTTACGAGTTCTTGGACACGTCCGTCTCAGAATGGGAGAGGCATCTAGAGGGTGCAATATCTTTCCTGGTGCTTTCACAAGAGCACAACAGGTCATTGCAATTACCGAACTTGGTATCATCAATATCCTCAGCTAGCTCCAAACTCGCCTCCAAAGCTCAGAGAGTAGTCTTCTGGAACATTGCTAGACAGGATATGCTTGCAGCTTGTAAGCACTCATAAAGCTTCAGGTTGAAGCGTTACTAATCATCCTCCAGTCATCAACAAGACAAGCACAAGGCTTGGTACTGACGACCTAACACTATGGAGAAGAGCCGGTCTCATGCTTGATGAGCAGGCTTACATCATGCCCAGCAACGCGGCGGTATACGGCTATTTCGAGGAAGGCGATGCCATGATAAGGGAAGAACTTATATGCAACACCCTTGTTTGGCTCATGGCCAAGCTAGTCAACTTCATGGCTGTGGGCAGCGTAACTCCTGACAAAGCTGACGTGGCTTGGGGCGGTATTGCCTACCGCACCCGTTCCTTCCAGTGGCTTGGTCTACGAAAACAGTTCCAGGTCTGGCATGAAGGCCTTCCAGTCAGCTTCAGGCCCTCTGCCAGGGTAGCTCCTTCGCACACATCTGGTCAGGCCTCGAATGACGACAACGCTTCTATGTTCACCGAGGCCTGGCACTCCATGCCCATGTGCGTCTCGACCATGCAAACTTACTACATGTCTCAGATTCTCCTATCCATGAATAAGCCGCATGAGTCTGCTCTAGAACGCAATACTGAGGTCATTCGCATGGACTACCACCAATCCGTTCTGGTCGCCTGCCAAAACCACAGCCGTAGAATTATTGGCATCTCGCTCGCGCAACCAGACAAAGCGGTTCGGATCTACTCAATCCAACCCTTGTTCACTGCGGGTCAGTGTCTTAGTGACGATCGAGAACGTCGGATTGTTTTACGTCTTCTGCGAGACATTGAATCTGACACTGGCTGGGCCACGGATTACCGAGTGCGGCAACTGGTAGAGCAATGGCAAAGAACGAAACCAGACAGTCAGGCACTATGGTCGGACAGCCGATGAGCTATCCCACATGAACACAAACATCCTTCACTCACGTTCAACACGGTATGACTACACCACAGATCTGATTCAAGAAGCATTTGTAGCAGTCAAATTACGCGAAGAAGGCGTGTCTTTTGCGTATCGCGAAGTTGCAAAAAGATGCGTGGTTGGTCGAACGAGGCTGCCGCGAAGGCACGAAGGGAAAATACGTTCAAATGCAAGAGAGGCGCGTCGGCAACAACTACTCGATCTACTACAGAAGTACGAGCTTATACTGTACATAGAGAGGTGCTTCAGGCGAGGTTTGCTACTAACACGAGAGACGATATAAAATTTTACGAGCATGATAGCAAGACGTGAGGTTTCTGAAAGCTGTGTTATACGGTTTCTTCCTTGCCACAACACTAAGCTTGCTACCAGATGGAGCGCCGGAATCGATCGCAACCGGCACCAAGCTGCATATCAAAATGGGTACAAACTCTGCTTTGAACCGCTGCAACTGAGGACATGAAAGTTCGACGTTGACGCGGGCGATACCTATAATATAAATAAGAAAGGCCTTTCCTTCGGCATCACATTTCGCTCAAAAAGAGGGTTGATCAAGGCGATGTGGGCTTCAAAAGGGTGTACAGCGGCCTTCCAGGATGCCGGCAGAGAGTGGGTATCGGCTCTAGCTTGCGCATGCGCTTCTGGAGAAGCACTGCCGCCGATTCTCATCTACGAGGGCAACTCGGGACTTTAATCGGGCTGATTTGATGCCGTAGAAGTCGGGAAACACCAAGTTTTCTTCGCAAGTTCGATCTCAGGATGAATGAATAATGGTCTGGGTTCGCCGTGACTTGAACAGGTATTCGACCACTTCATGGAGCAGAAAGCAAGGCAGCAATACCAACTTCTCATTCAAGACGGCCACGGCAGGCACCTCACCTCTGATTTTGTAGATTTTTTGCGACGGCGATCAAATCATCCTGGCTACATTTCCCCTTCACTTAACCCATAGTCTTCGGCCGCTCGACGTGGTATCGTTCTCATCTCTCTTGAACAACTATTCTCAAGAACTCAACTGCCACCTTCGTCAATCGCAAAGCTTCATTGGACTTAAGAAAGTCAATTTTACCGATATTTATTTTGGTCGCCTGGGGCTCTACAATGAATCTGGATACCATGATCGAGAGCTTTGAAGCTACAGGTGTGTGACCGATAGATACAGTGCTTAGTCTCTCCAACTGGAAGGGGAGCTGTAGTTCTGAAATGGTAGTAATATCCGCGCAGGCAAGAAATGCTTTCTAAGGCAGTGTAATAGCACTATAATTCCATAGCTTAGCACGTCGTATATGCCCTTCGGGAGGCGAGATGGTGGACTTAATCCCCATTAACTAGACGAAAAATGAATACCAACCAACCAACCAACCGATAGATACAGAGGTTGTTCTGAAACGCTTCAACAGCCACGCTTCGAAGATGAAGCTTCAAAGGTTGAGGATCACGGTGATGTGGATATTTGGAGCAAGCTGCGAACGTTGTTCGACACTGCAGTAACGGAGAAAGCAAGAGTTAAGTCAAAATGTCTTTCGGCTTCATCACACTCTCTACAAACCCATAGCGACCTTCTTTGCACCGAACGACAGCCTACGTACCGTGCTCCCCAAAAGGATGCACCAGAAGAGTATCATTGTGGTGCTGTTTCCTGGAGTCCTAGGAAGCTCAGGGAAGCCCCGGCGCGCGAGGCAACAAAACAAGACGGAGACGAACGGAAAAGCACACCATGAAATCCAGCCAAGAAGGCTGAAGGCGGCGAGTGACGTTGTACAAGGAGAAGCAAGTTGATGCTGCAAAATTGGCTCGACAACAAGCCAAAATTGAGCGCGAGCGCAAACAGCGCGTTGAGGAACTGGCTGCTTTGCGGGTGCTCAAAAAGCAGCAACACGACGCTGTGACCGCAAAAGCAAAAGGGAAACAAGAAAGAAAGACAAAAAGAACCAGAAAAGAACTCAAGATACAGCAAACAAGCGTAAGCGAACAGCCTCACACAAAGCAGCAGAAAATCAGACAAAGCGTCGTCGTGTTGCTGCTGCATCAAGTCGGGTTGACGCTGGTCCGGCTGCGGCGTCTCCCCAACCCAAATACAGCGCAAGCCAGCGCCAAATCAAGACGTCAGCAAGATACAAGTAGTGCAAATGCTCTAGAAGGTTCTATATAGCAATACATCAGCTTTTCTCACGATAATAGCTACTCAGGGTGGTTCTACAACCTCATCTTTTGGATCTTTCCATCTTGTTGGGGCGGCTCGACCCGCGCACTGACATTGGTGGTGGCAAGTCTATGGTTGCCTTAGCTACAGGTGTTTCAGGCATGACATTGCAGCTTTCTACCTCGGCAGGTGAGCCTTGGTCTGTCCTGGCTACAGTAAGCAGC